GGACACATTGGGGACACAGAGGGACATGGGGGACATTTGGGACATGGGGGACATTGGGGACACGGGGACACGGAGGGGACACGGGGACGTTGGGGACAAGGGGAACGTGGGGGACACGAGGGACGTGGGGGACACGAGGGGACACGGGGGGACATTGGGGGGACATTGAGGACACGTCAGGGGGACACACGGGGGTCACACCAGCCTCATCCCCCTGCAGACCCCCTATAGAGCCCCTATAGCCCTCCCGCCCCACAGGGTTCCTATAGGGGACCCACAGAGACCCTATAGGGGATCCACAACTCCGTGTGGCCCTTGTAGGGGTCCCACACCCCCCATAGCCCTCCCGACCCATAGGGGCCCTATAGGGAACCCCCAGCCCCACATGGTCCCTACACACTTCCTATAGGAAGCTCTCCCACCCTATAGGAGTCTGATACACCCCATAGGGGACCCACAGCCTCCCATGGCCCCTATGGATCCCATAGGGCACCCACAGCCTCATGTGACCCCTATGGACCCTATAGGGGACCCAGAGCCCTACATAGCCCCTATGGATCCCATAGGAGACCCAGACCCTCCCACTGCCCCTACGGACCCCACAGGGGACCCACAGCCTCCCACAGCCCATAGGGAACCCAGATCCTCATGTAGCCCCTATGGATCCCATAGGAGACCCAGACCCTCCCACTGCCCCTACGGACCCCACAGGGGACCCACAGCCTCCCACAGCCCATAGGGAACCCAGATCCTCATGTAGCCCCTATGGATCCCATAGGAGACCCAGAACCTCCTGTGGCCCCTATGGACCCCATAGGTCCCCCCGCTGCCCCATAGGGTCTCACCCAGGTCGAGGTGCCCGTCGAGCTGCAGCCCCGACACCGGGGTCCCCGCGACCAGCAGCAGGAGGGGGAGGGGCAGGGGGAGCACCCCCATGGCGGCCCCCGTCCCCCCGTGTCACCGCACCTGGGGACAGCAAAGGGACACTGGGACTCACTGGGAGGGGAACTGGGAGGCCTGGGATGGGGACTGGGGGCACTGGGAAGGAACTGGGAGCACTGGGAGGGAATTGGGAGCACTGGGATAGGGACTGGGGGCACTGGGAGGAGTGGAATGAGGACTGGGAGGGAACTGGGAAGACTGGGATAGGGACTGGGAGCACTGGGAGGGAATTGGGAGCACTGGGATAGGGACTGGGGGCACTGGGAGGAGTGGAATGAGGACTGGGAGGGAACTGGGAAGACTGGGATGGGGACTGGGGGCACTGGGAGGGAATTGGGAGCACTGGGATAGGGACTGGGGGCACTGGGAGGAGTGGAATGAGGACTGGGAGGGAACTGGGAAGACTGGGATGGGGATTGGGGGCACTGGGAGGGAACTGGGACTCACTGGGAGGAAATTGGGAGCACTGGGATAGGGACTGGGGGCACTGGGAGGAGAGGAATGAGGACTGGGAGGGAACTGGGAAGACTGGGATGGGGACTGGGGGCACTGGGAGGGAATTGGGAGCACTGGGATAGGGACTGGGGGCACTGGGAGGAGTGGAATGAGGACTGGGAGGGAACTGGGAAGACTGGGAGGGGAAATGGGAGCACTGGGAGGAGTGGGATAGGGACTGGTGACACTGGGAGGAAGGCTGAAAGGGAACTGGGAGAGCCAGGAGGGAACTGGGGGCAATGGGAGGAGTGGAATGGGGGCTGAGTGGGAACTGGGAGGACTAAGAGGGTAACTGGGACTCACTGGGAGGCACTGGGAGGATGGCTGGGGGACTGCGAGGCATTGGGAGAGGGACTGGGGGTACTGGGAGGAATGGGGTGGGGACTGGGAGGGAACTGGGAGGTCTGGGGCGTGAACTGGAAACACTAGGATAGGGACTGGGGGCACTGGGAGTGGAATGGGGAGCACTGGGAGGAGTGGAATAGGGACTGGGGGCATGTGGTGGGGAACTGGGAGCACTGGGAAGACTGGGATGGGGACTGGGGGGAACTGGAAGGAGAACTGGGAGGACTTGGAGAAAGACTGGGAGCACTGGGAGGACTGGGAAGGGGATTGGAGGCACTGGGAGGAGGACTGGGGGCACTGGGAGGAGGACTGTGAGGGGAACTGGGAGCACTGGGAAAACTGGGATGGGGACTGGGAGCACTGGGAGGACTAGGAGGGGGACTGGGAGGGGGACT